AGAAAATGATGATCTACCAAGAGAACCTTTTCAAACGATAAAAAACCTTTTAAGATGAAGTTTGTCTTATTAATTAGAATTTATTGAAACTAAGCTAAACCTAAAATGATTCCTGACCTAGTTACTTTCTTTTTGCATCTTCGACTTTGTACATGGCATGTCACAAAAAACTCAATGTTGTCATTTGGATCATAAATTCTGCACATGAAAAGATCTTATGAATCCTATAATACATCGAAAATTTTAGCTAGAACGAATGGTTTCTTCCTGTGACATCATATCCTTAATGAATGCACATATTTTCGAATAGATTCAGAAAGGTTCAATATCTTTTAGTAAGACTATCATCCCAGAAAGACAATATTCGTTGGAGCTAAGCCTTTTGGTACATGATAGCATTTCTAAGTTTTGTTGATAGGCAAAATTTAATATCGAAATGACAACATTTACTCATTATTGATGGGAGTTTTTTGGTTTCTTTTTGCCACCCTATGAGTATTTAGGTACAATCGCTTTTCGGCTTCAAAAGATGACCTTTTCTATCTTTCCAACAATCAAGTAATTCAACTTTTTTAGTCCAGAATAAATCAACACGTATTGACATGATTTGATGTTACTAGATATTAACATCAAAATGAGAAGATGTTACAACATCAAAAACCTTCGCTATTATGTAATATTGTTTTTTCTTTTAAATGTCTACAGCTAGTCTATTCCCTTTTCCTACGTATCCCATAGTTGTTTATTATAATATCATTTCTTTTTAGCCTTCTGAACGTGAATGACAGACCATATGTTCCTTACGTTACAGAAATTGCTGTTATTCATGAAACCAGAAATAAGAACTCAATATCCAATATGATGAGGTTCTCACTTAGAGAGGTTTTACAATAGTCTACACGAAGTCAGAAACTCGATAACATGAGCATAAGTCAAAAACAAAGTAAAAAAGACCTGAATTATTATATAAGCACAAGACAAAAGTTTTCTCGATTCCTGTTAGATCAATACTTTGATCGCAAAGTATGCCCAACTACTATTTATCATATAAATTGAAATATTTCTCCAATAAATAAAGAATTATGATTACAAAGAAAAACCAAATTATTTAGTTCTACCAAATTTTTCTAAAACGGATATTGAGTGTTGTATGACAAGAAATTATTCCATTACCATATGTTTTTCAAGATATTCTTTAATTTTTATTCAAAAACACTTTGAATTTTTAAATTGTATTTTCAAATGTTCTTTTAGGTATTTCAAATAGAGCTAGAATATTCACTTGCCTTTCGTTTCCTTATCTATCGTATTGATGCCTCAACAACAGATATTCGTAACAGTTCACAAAAAGAAATATGTATTGGTAAATTTCATCGAGATGTAAGTTAAAAAATTTCTTCTTATAAAAAAATCAAATTCTTTAAATTAAGATTGAAACTGCATTACATGAATGTCACAATAATCCAAATGAAGTGACACGTATTGAATCACCATCTGGAGATTTAAAATTAAGATTTTCATTAAACTATTCAAAACGTGAAGGAACATTTAGACGTCGACCATCAAAACGTAGTCTTGCTATATTTGGAAAAAGTATTGAAAAATTATTAAGTATGCCAAATGGACAGTATGTTTATATATATATATAATTTTTTTTTCTTATGGAAAAAAAGCAAAACTTGTTTTCTGTTTTAGTATTAACGGTATTCCACGTATAATTGTAAAATGTATTGAAATGGTTGAACATGATGGTTTAAATGAAACAGGTATATATCGTGTTTGTTGTGTTGCATCAGAATTACAAAAACTTCGTAATGAATTTGATCGAAATTATCGTCATGGTGAAGAAATGTTACTTCAAAAAAATGTACATGTTGCAGCTAATTTATTAAAATTATTTTTTCGTGAATTGCCTGAACCATTATTTAGTAGTGCATTATATAAACAATTTTTACATGCTATACAGTTAACTGATATTGATAATCAACGTGTTACACTATTAAAAACATTTGAATCATTAAATTCAAATAACCGACAAATTTTATTGTATTTATTTGATCATTTAATACGTGTTAGTCAATATTCAAATATAAATATGATGCATTTAGATAATTTAGCTGTTGTTTTTGGACCAACATTAATGAGACCATCAAAATTATTAACAACAACAAATTATTCAGGTAGTAATCAACGTTTAAATGCTATTACAAATAATACTACTAGTTCAACAATACAAACAGATGTTGATCAAATGTCATCAGAATTACAAGGTTCAATGTATCAATGTCAAGTGGTTCTTGCTTGTTTAAAATTAAGACGAGATGAAATATTGAAATAATATGTTTTGAAAATTATTTTCAGTTTGTTTTCTTGGTTTTTTTTTTCCACAGTGAAATGAATGAAAGAGAGATTTTGTGTATTTTTTTGTTTGTTTGATTTTCTTTTAAATTCGCTTATACATCAGTGGCACTCTTTGATAAATTTTTCTTTGTGTCTGTTTTTTTTTACTCGAATAAGAAGATATCAATATATATGTATATGAATATGTGGACTGGTGTGCTTTGATCTATATATACATCTCTCATATAATTACAAACGAAATTGAATAATTTACGATTGAATTAAAAAGTAAAGTGTTTTCTTTATTAATGCTACCATTTATAAAATACTGTGATCTATACATTGTGTGAATCTTCTTTATCTTACATGGGAACTATACAATAACAAAAATGTGTTGAAATAAATTTTTTTTCTGTAGTTCAGCACTTTACAGATGTCATTTATTATTTTCTTTTATGCGAATACAAAAGATGAAGAAAAAAAAAATTATAATATTTATGTATAGGCAAAATCAGTGAAAAATGGGATATGACCATCTTCGATTTGACTTTAATTCTTTAGCAAGGTTACTATTTGAACAAGTTCTTTTCTTATAAATATGTATCTTTTTGAAAAAAAATAATTAGATTTAATATTTATATTATATCATTGCTATAAATTATTATTCTTACAAAAGTAATTATATACTTTGATAGCGTGCAAAATTCTCTACAACTTTATGTATGTATACGTTTTGAATTACACTTACTCGATAAAAATAGGAATTCAAGTACAGTGACGATATTCTCATTGTGAGATTCTTCGAAAATGTATTTTTCGTTTCTGTTTCATTTGTTTTTTTTCATATTTATTTTAACATAAGAAGAAATGATTACAGAAGTAAGCATATATTCTGAAAGTGCGTGAAATTTTCTCTATCATACTATGCTTTTGCCAGTATTTGACTTTCAAATATTTGATTACAAATATTTCGAACATTGTTAAGGTACTCAAGTATCATATTTCAAGGTAAAGTATTGTTGATAATTTGGGCGATATCTTTATGCATACTGGTTAATCGAATATCAAAATGATCTGAATAATATTTAAATCAGGGCTAACAGGTGAATGGTTATTCATACATCTTATTCGATTACTAGATAACCATTCATACTCTGCTGTATGAATTAAGTCGAATAGTTGAGGATAAAAGTGTTAGAGTAAGAGTAGTTTAATAATATTCGAAATATTTGTCATCATAAAATTGAAAGTCAAAGACTAGACAAAGTTACGGAATGATATCGATTTTCATGAGCTTTCAAAATATATAATTGATTTTCAAAAAAAAAGTCTTGCATCCTGTATAAACAAAATTTCAAAACAATGGATGTAAAAGAAACAAACCAAATGCATTTCTGGAGAACCGGTTAATGAGGGTACCTTCATTGTACTTGAATATCTATTTCACCGAACAAGCAAAATACAAAAAAAACACACCTACATAGTATTGTAGAAAATTCCACGTGCTGTCAGAATATATAATTACTCTCCCCAAAATATTGATATATGGTAGTGATATGATAAAAATATCGCGTTGAACTAATTTTTTTTCTAGAGAGATATATAAATATTGGCTCTACTAGCTCATACAAGTTGGACTTAACTAGTTAATTAATTAGAAGGTAATTAGCAACTAATTCTCTAATTTTATGATGGAAAAGTTCAAGAATTTCAAAATAGTCTCCACGCAATAAACTATACGTATGTTGAATTTTTCGACAAGATCTGACTCCCTAAAATTGTCTCTCAAAAGCCGATTTTCCACATATGTTATCTCGTCTCAGAATCAGATTTTTTGTTTTGTAATCATCTCGTGATCTCTAAGAAGGATTTGTACTATTTGGATTCGGCTTTTGGACTTGTTGCTCAGTTACAAAAGGATTGTACAGAGATTTTGTAGACTGATGAATCCATTATAAAATGTACTATTTAGTTTTCAAAAATATTGTTTGAACATGCAAGATTCGTAAATATAACTTTACACAATGGAAACATTTTTCCTTTTTAATGTCCAATCCATAATGCTCACTTTTCAATAATAATTTCAGAGTCAAGTTCTATAGAACTGACTTTTTCAGGATATCTAGAATTACTCAACATGCATCTTGTATATAAAAATTAGTCAAAAGAAATTCCCAAATCTAAAGATACGAAACATTTTCATTAGCAAAATCACGTTGCTAACGAATGAAATTATCCATATATATATATATATATATATATATATTTTCATCAACATCTATTCATGTCTTTTCTTCGTATTTGACAAAGAACTCATTACCAACTAATCGAAAAAAATCAAAATGTAAGAAAGTCAATGTTTGGTTTCTTTTTTTTAGTATTAATAACAAGAATAGGAAAAAACATGAGAGGAACAGAAAAGAAAAAGAAAATTGACATCCTTCAATTTTGCTCAACATCTAAGCAACGCTTCTAATCGAATGTACGTATTCTTCCATCAGAATAGTAGAGAAAAGAAAAGTATTGGACGTGAGCAAAATTATTCTCCTAGATGAATAGTTTTTGCTTAAGTCAATAACCATTTGATTCTAATGTGCAGTTAGATAACAACAAAGCCATTTATATATATTCAGAAAAATAGTTTTTAAAACAACAACAATATGTCTCAGCATATTAAAACAGGTTATCTTCAGTATTTTTATAGTACGTATGTTTTTTCTGATTAGTGTGAATAATTTGCTCAAAATTTTTAAAATATCTCTATTGTAGAAGGTTTATTATCGAAAAAATGGAAAAATTATTATTTTGTATTGTTTGATGATTCAACATTACAATGGTATGAAAAACAAAATGATCGAAAACCAGATGGATCAATACGTATTCGTGATATAGCTCAAAATCTTTGTGTTGGCCCATATACACGATGTTTACCTAATCGACCAGAACTGCCTCGACCAACGGACGAAGCGAATCTTATTGCTTTACCAAGATCATCATCTAGACATCATGATCAAGAAATAATATGGATTCTTTGTAATGATGTAACACATTTAAAGTAAGAAAAATCATAAAGTAATTTAATCTTCATTGATTTTTTTTTTTTAATTATTTAGTGAATGGATGGCAGCAATTGTTTCTACAGTGAGTTCATTCTGCTCAATTTAATATATATATATATAAATAATCCTTTTTTTTATATAGCTACCTCCTCCACCTCAGCGATCTTCAGCACCACCGCATCCACAACAAAATGCTACTATTCGACCGTCTGCTCATCCATCATTTCATGCTCCACCATGTACATTCATTATTTTATCAAACAAATATTAATTTAAATATCTCTTTTAGCTTATCCAAGATCAACTCCATATCCTCGACAACACCAACAACAGCCAATATACCCAAAAATGCATAACAATCAACAGCCAACTTATCACTATACAAACGTCGTTGTACAACCATCGCCTTCTTATGATGGTGAAGGATATAGTAGCATTAATCGAGGTGGCACTGGAAGTTCACTAGTTAGTGCAGGAGTCGGCTTTGCTGGTGGAGCATTACTTGGTGGTAAAGTCTTCAAAGCTATATAACGAAAGAATATTGAAATTTGTCGCTATTAGGTGCTCTTGGTTATGCATGGGGAGGTGGTTTTGGTGGACATGGTGGATGGGGATATGGCATGGGCCCTATTGGGTATCATAGTGGTGGATATGGGTAAGTTGAAAAATAACCTTTTATTATGATACGATCAGATATATTGAAAATAAGCTATTGTATTTTGAGACAAAATAAAACAAGAGAATATATTGAATCCTCAGAAAAACTTAGTATGGAATAATTTTTTATTCTAGTGGATGGGGTTTTGGTGACAATGATACTACTGTCATCAATAACTAGTGTGTAAATCTTGTTTTTCATGTATATTGAAAAGAAAAACTTGGACCTTTTTAGCTATGATAATGATACAACAAATAATTATAATAATAGTACAACGAACAATAATTTTTCAACGTATAACGAAACAAATAACTATAATGACAATGATAATCAACAAAACAATTTTCAATATGAGACAAATAATAATCAACAGTCAGAAAATAATGGTGACAATGGAGGTAAGAATCACTGTACGAAGTATATTAGTTTTGTTTTTTATGAATATTGACCAGATTTTGGTGGTGATGATCACTTTGGCGATCGTGATGACGACAATCACGGTGGTGATGGCTATGATTACGGTGGTGGTGGCGCTGATAACAGCGGCGGCAATGACAATTACGGTGGTAATGGTGGTGGTTACAGCGGTGGCGATGACAATTACGGTGGTAATGGTGGTGGTTACAGCGGTGGCGGTGACAATTACGGTGGTAATGGTGATGATTACGGCGGTGGTGGCGTTGATTATGGTGGAGGTGGCGGTGATTACGGCGGTGGCGGCAGCGATGGCTACGGTGGCGGTGGCGATGATTACAGTGGCAGCGGATATGGTTACGGTAGTGGTGGCGATGATTACGGTGATGATGGTAAGGCTGATTATATTAGTACATATTGTTTAAGTTTATATTGATATTTTTTAGACTTTGGCGATGGTGGAGGCGATTTTGGAGGTAGATAACTCTTTTTTTCTTGATGATCGACCGGTTTTTTTCTTGTCTGTTAGGAGGTGATTTTGGTAATGGTGATTGGTAAAATATAAGTATACAAATGAAAGCAAAGTTCACTAGCTATTAATTGTCTTGTGTAATATTATAATAAAGAGAAAAACTTTATGTTACTTATCTAATATATATAATCCTTATTGTATCTATCAAGGCTTGTTTAAAGTTTAATCAAAAAATTTTGTACAATATCTTTCTTGTTTGTTTAATGGATATAACTCAATATGTAATCAATAAAGAATAAACGAAGAAAGATTATTTTAATTTTTAATAAATAATTATCATAGAACAATTTGTTGATTGATTAAAATATAAAATAGATTGCGGTGATAAAAATAAAGTATGGTAGTAACCAACATTTTAATCAAATTGTTTTTCAATGTCAACAGTATTTTAATCTACTCAATCGAACTAAGTGTTAAATAACTTTATTTATTATTCTACATAATTACCTGAGTAGTTACAAATATTCAAACCATAAATTTGTTTTTAATCAATGTTTTTTATTTTTGATGCGTTTTTCTATATTGTTTGCTATGATATCAACATAGAAAAATGGCTAATATCATTTTACCCATCTAAACCAAAGTCAAGAGATAAATAATCGATAACTATTAGCTTAATATTACACAGAAAATTATGGTTAATAAGCGTACAAAAAATTAAATTCTATACATCTTTAGAAAATACATTATCTTGTTTCTATGTTTCACGATGAGAGACATCTGACATGAACTGCATACCATTCGTCGACAGATATTTTGTCGACAACTGAATTAGCTTACAATGTGATTTTCATCTGCATCATGAATTTTTATATTTTGACAAAAAAACAGCTCGCTCAATCTAATTTTTTTTCACTACCTAATCAATAAGTATTTTGCTTTCGAATTGCAATGAACATGACATCAATGAAAACATTCATCAGTTCTAATTTGACACACTTCAGGGTGAGTGTCGATGAAGAGTATATCTGCACTCGCACCCACATTCTCTTACATTTGGTTGCACAGAAGAAAGGAATTGAACTAAAAACACAACAACTCACTCCTTCTCCGTGCTGGTCTTTATCACTTTCTTTTCACTAGGTATATTCTTATTCGTTTACTATTTATGTGTGTTATTTTCTTATCTTATGGAGTACGAGTGCAAGTTATCCGAAGATTTGGGATTTGATATTGTTTGGTTTGGTTGCTTAAGGTTGTCTTTGTTCTCCACTGATTCAAACTCCACAGGTTTTGTTTGATGAAGTGTTAGAGAGAACTATCAATTTAACTAGGAGTGCGGCGAAGTCAGAAAATCATTTTTGAGATTCAGGACCATATTCAAATGCTAAAGGCTTTACGTCAAACGCTAAAATGCATTTTCTGATTTTTCCGCTCTCCTGGTTAGGTAGAACTTTGCTTTTGACAATTTATCTTACCATACATGCAGAATTTGATTTATTGGAGAACGAAGCTGAGCCGAAGCCCCCTAATCCACTTTCAAATCGAACTCCACGGAGACTGATATTCAAACGCAAATAAAATTCTAAAATTCTTAGTCCTAAATCTTCAATCTATTGTAGGTTTGTTATACCTTTATTATTGGGCCAATAATGAAAAAGAAGGTTGGCATCTTAAAACATTAGTACTCTCTCACAAAGATTTTGTCAACGAGCGATATTATTACTTCTGAAATATTTGTTTTGTTTGATTTTTGGAAACTATTAAAAGAGAACAGTAAAGGTTTGAATGTTAGATCTCATAAAACAGATAAAGAGCTTTTACATATATAGATAAGTCAATATATATGCATTTTGTCAATAATGATAACAGGACTTCTTTGAATAGAACAATGTAAAATAAAATCGAACGTGTAGAAAATAAAGCATGTTTCGCATCGATATCCTAACAAAAGAACTACCTCAAGGGACTCTCATCGCTTGAGCTCATATTGGACTCACAGTTAGGCCTTCGTGAGCATATCAAAAGTCTACGAGGGCTTGCCTTGATTGGCGCTGAGTTATGACTAATTTATTGAACTTTAGAAACATTTTTAGGCACTTTTCGAAAGACCGAATAATAGAATTTTGATTCAAAACTTTACCTATAAATAGGTCTAATGACGTTTAAATTCTCTTAAAAGTTTGAGTTGAAAAGAATGTTCCTTTGTCGAACTATTGAATTCTCAATTGTAATCGTTTTTTGTGACATATCTGTTGCAAAGAACGGTTTTTAGAAATTCAATATCTTGACGAAGTAGTACTCTTTTCGGTTGAAACTTTCAGAATATTCTAAGAGTAATTAAAACTCTTTAACCCTTTGAGGACCGGTGGGTCATATTTGTCCCACCTACTTTTCAGTAGAGAAAAAAGTGTTTAGTTCGCATTAAACTATTAAATATGTAAGGTCACCAAGGTCATAAACTACTGCGTTTGTCATCTCATACTTTTCTTTTCTTTCTTTCCTTCTCTCATATAAATTCTTTTCAAATATCTTTTGTTCTTGCTGCTAAGGTACATTGACGTCATGATTTCCCTCTTCTCCTTTGATCTTTAGTTCTTCGAGAGTATTCTCATTCTTTATCGGGTTTATATATATAGTTTCGTTCTCAAACTAGCATCACCAAAAACTGCCCTTAATTTTGACAATGAAATGCATTTGCCTGTGAAAGGAACAAGAGGGTGTACTTATTGTGACACCAATGAAGCAGAAGTTTGATCCAACATCGAGTGCTTTACTTGCAAATTGGCATTTTGTCTAAAAGATGAAAAAAATTGTTTTTTTTTTTGATTAGCATAAGATTTTCATGTAGCCATTTTGAGTTAAAATAAAATAAAAACGTTGAAAAATGTTTTTTCGATTAAACAAAGATTCGGTCCTCAAAGGGCTAATAAAAAAGTTTAGAACGAAACTGTCACTTTGTTCTTCGAGAACCTACTACAAATGAGCCGAAAATTCACTAAACCGACCATAACTCGACGACAAAGGCCTATAGAGATGAGCTCTTCTAGATTTTAGCTAGTCTCACTGAAGTTTACCTCTAAATCCAATATGAGTTCAAATAGTGAATATAACTTGGAGTAGTCTCCTTGTAAGTAATGATTTTGATTCATGTCTCTTTGCATTTCAGTCACTTCATACAATATACAAATATTATATTTTTATTGCCACAGTAAAGCTTTGAGACATTGATCTCAGCAAGAATATAATTCGTTGTAAGCAACAAAAAAGCAACATAAAATTTCTACATTGAATGAATATTTAATGTTAAATGATTGACATGCAGATATCAACAATTGAGTCTAACTTTCACACTTTATTTTTATATTGATTTAATTTTTGAATCAATCCATAATCCATGAAGATTTTTTGGTACAGGACCATTTGTATTAAATTGGACACGTCCAATTTCTGTCATATCTCGTGCATTAAGTACAAGAAAATTGACTTCATTTTCCTGAGCAGTTCTTAATAATGACATAATTAAAACTCCTTCATCTTCTTCTCCCTATAATAATAAAACAATATAGATAATGCAATTATTTCTATATCTTATCTTACAGTTTCATTTGAAGGATTTCGTAGAAAAATTGGCTCTGATGTATAACATCCTGCTTCATGCCAAATTTTACATGTTTTTGAATGAACATCAATTTTCCTAAGCTAAATAAATAAAAAAAAAAGGATTTTCTTATAAAGAAAAAAAAAAGAAAATTCATTATACAGATCCACAATATTGATAATCAATATCAGTATTAATCGCATAAAAATATCGATAAAATTTTCCATAATATTTAAAATAATCGATTTGAGGTAATTCACAACCCATATCAATAATTAATTCTGGTTCAATCCATAATTTTTTTTTATCAATTAATTTAACTTGACATGTTGTATAATTTAAATCAACTAAATTTTCACTATCTTGTTTTATTGAAATAGGTAAAACAAATCGTTTTGGTCTACTACGAAATTGTCTTGAATAATCAGGATTTTGTTGAGCATTCTAAAATATTTAGAAAAAAACAACAACAAACATTTCTTTTTTCTTAAAGATCAAAAATAAAAACAGGTACTTCAAGTGCTTCCATGGTCATGCATTTAAGCATATCAGAATCTTCATAACAACAAATATCAAGAACAATATGGTTTTTATCTTCATATGCATTGATTATATGAAGATAAAAGAATGCTGATGATAAATAAATATAATCAGTATATTCAGTCATTGATTGACGATGAATAAGACGAAATTGTACCTAAATAAGAAAAAATTATTTTTGTTGTTGATTGAATATAAAAATTCTTTTTATACAAACCGGTTCATTTTGATACCAAACAAGTGCATCTGTCATTGGACCATGTGTAACTGTAAGTTGAGCCATTTGAGCAAGCGATATACAAAGTGATTGTTCAATAAGAATAATATAATTATCGGTTACCGAAAATGCATGCATATAAGATGGATTAATTGACCAACGACATGGAATTTTTATTAACGTTCTACATTGATTCATAAGATTATCTTCAGTATTTAAATTTGAAAACCCTAAAATTATTGATTAAAATCTTTTTTTTTTAAATATTTATTATTTCAGTTTGTTTTTTTCAAACCTGGAAATTCAAATAAAACATAATTCATGCCCATTAAACTTGGTGATAAACCAACATTAATCATTGTTCCATCATTAAGAACAATAGGATGAGCACAATGAGAAACAATAGATATACGGTTACTAACATCGAATTTCGAACATGTTTCAATTGTTTCTGAATCTATTTCATGCATAATTGGAGTCTAAATTCAAACAAAATCAATTCAAATGTATTCTTGAAAATCTTTTATTTTTTTTATTATTCACAAACCTCAGTCATAGTAAATAATCCTACTTGATCATTATTGACTTTATATGGATAAATACTAATCATTGCATTATCTGTTCGAAAATCATTTTTACAATTAACAAGATTCCGAATACTAAATTAAAAAAATCGTTTTCTTCTTTAAAAAAAAAACTAAAAAGTTCAAACAAACTACCATGTAATA